CATGGCTCCTTAGTGAGCTGATGAGTTCTTCTAAAGAGATCTTGTTCAGATCTTTAGCCATCTTCAAGGCAGTCACCATTGGTCTCCATCTGGTAGGTAGACTTCTGATGATTTTCTTTACATGATCTGATGTGGAGTATCCCTTGTCCAGAACCTTTAGCCCAGCTGTGAAGATCTGAAATCTGGAGAACATAACTTCAACAGATTCAGAGTCTTCCATCTTGAAGGCCTCATACTTCTGGATCAGAGCTAGAGCTTTTGTTTCCTTGACTTGAGAGTTTCCCTCATGAGTCATCTTTAAGGATTCAAACATATCAAAAGCAGTTTCCCTGTTTGTAATTTTTTCATACTCAGTATGAGAAATTGCATTCAATAATATTGTTCTAGCCTTGTGATGATTTCTAAAATATTTCTTCTGAGCATCTGTCATAGATTTTCTATCTATCTTCTTGCCATTCCCATCTGTGGGATGAACATATCTATCTATGACTAGATCCCATAAATCAGCATCATATCCAAGGAAAAAACTTTCAATTCTGTCTTTCCAGTAATCAAATTTCTCCCCGTCAAACATAGGGGGTTTGGTGCTGATTCTGTCCTTTTCTTCATATTTATTGTTAACATTGGATATTGTATTATCAGCCATAGTAACAACTAAATATATATCAAAGTATTTCTCTCTGGATCTTTACTGACACTATTAAGTAGTAGCACACACAGAACCGGAGCTCTGATGCCAACTGAAGGTGAGATAATACTTAGAAGGGGGGGTTGAATAAGTATGAAAGATTAAAACTTAGAAATAAAACACAAGTATTTTTATCCTGGTTCGTTGAACTCAACTACTCCAGTCCACCCTTCCTAGAGTGATTTGCCTTTCTCAAACAAGGACTTAATCCACTATTTAATCAAACAGATTATAATAGTAACACCTAAGAACAACTGTTGTTAGTCTTCTCAAGAGCTACTGATTCCAACTGAATCCTCTTAAGGAAATCCTTTACAATCAATGTAAATCTAATACAAGAGTAAGAATGCTTCTAAAAAGCTTTAATCACAACAGTGATATTTCTCTTAAGTTTAAGTACAATGAAATTAATTCTAAGAATGAATATGAAAGTATGAGAGCTTGAATGTTTTAATTTCTTTTCAGCAAAACGTCTTACTGAAGAATTTGGTGGAGACTTGCTTTTATAGGCAGCTGATCCAAGGGAACTGCACGTTGAGAAGAGTGTCCCAAAAGGTCTGAGCCTTTTTGTCTTCACATCAAGTGACCTTTCCTAGAAGAAGAAAGCACATAAAAATCCTTTTTGTCTGTGTTCTTGTGTCTAGTATAAATAAGGAAAGAGACGTTTGATTTACTCCAACGGATATAATCTTTGAATATTTCTTCTTCAGTTTTCAGCAAGTTCATCAGAGTCTAATTGAGTCAGAGTCTTCTGATGATGATCAGAGCTTGCTGGATCAGAGTCTTCTGCAGCAGGTGTGCTTTCAGCGTGTTAAATATCAGAGCATATTTGGAACAGAACTTCAGTACTGGCAGCTTTAGTACTTTCAGACACTTCTGTAGAATCTATGCTTTGAAAAACTCTTCATACAAAATTCTTCTTTGCTTCAGATGCTTCTGACTTGCTTCAGATTCTTCTGGAGCTACTTCTTCAGATCCTTCTGGAGCTTCTGCTTCAGATTCTTCTGGAGCTTCTGCTTCAGAATCTTCTGGAGGCTACGCTCAGAATCTTCTGTTGGCAGCAATCAGAATCTTCTAATGAGTGCATCTGGCGCTTCAGAGTCTAGCTAATTTCTTGCATTCAATTCAGATTTGCTTCTGGAGTATTAATTTCTTTACTATCTGCAGTAAAAACTCTCAAGCAAATTTTAGAGTATATAATTCTTAAATACAAAATTTCCTAATAGTTATCATCAAAACATAGAGATATTATTAAGAACCAATCTGTGTTCTAACAAAAGGCGTAGAAGTCGCAATGAGTCTATAGTTGGTTAATGCATTTTTATGTTGTGAGTAAATTTTTTACAATATTTCAGGAGAATGCATAAGCTTTTTTTGTGATTTACTCAAAGTTAACTCAATTCCAAGAGAAAATTTGCCAAGCATCAAAATCAGGGAGATTGTAGTTGCATTTCCCTAATTCATTCAAGGGGAGCACCCCAATCCGATTGTTTTTTTGTTTGTCTTATCGCTTTCACATTTTATTTAGTTTCAATTATTGAGTCCCCTTTATGATTGCACTTCTTAGAATCATGTTTGAAAAGATTCATTTTTTAGCATGCGTAAACCATTGGTTAGGTTTGTTCTTGATCATGATGCTTTTGGTCAATTGCATGAGTAAGTGGAATGAAAACCTTTTATGTTTTTTATTTGAGTTGGATACAAAATAAAATCTCAAAGTGCTTTTAAAACTACTAAAAAAATGAGATTTTATGTGTTTAATTCAAATCATGGAAATCAAAGACATTTTCTTACTCAAATTAAATTGGAGAAAGGCAAAACTAGAATTTTCTGACCATTTGATCCGAATATTTTTTTATGCATGATTCGAATCAATTTCCTATTGGTCACCTCTGCTAGATTTGATTTTAATCGAATATTGTACATGATTTGAATCACACAATTTTCTAGCATTTTCCAATTGATTTTCTGACCATCACATAAAGCTCAATCTTGAAGGTTCTATTCTGAGACATTGGAGCCTTCAAGATAAATCTTCCATTTGAGTCGAGAAATTTCATCGTCTTGTATTCAATCGACACCTTGTAGTTCTTTTCGACCAACTTCTCTATGTTGAGCAAATTGCTCTTCATACCTAGTATTGTCCAACTATGAGGACAAAACCAGTAAACCCTCAGGGGTTATTCAAGCTAACGTAAAGATAAGAACTACCACAAGGGCAACAATATTTTTGGTTGTGCCGACAAAAGAAAATTACAACCTAATATTAGGGAGGTAGTGGTTTCATAGATTAGGATGCATGCCCTCGTCTATGCATTAGAGGATCACCATCTGGAAGCCAAATGGGATTGTCAAACACATCAAAGCAGATTAAAGGTTTTTTAGAGCAGATGTGAATAACATCGACAAAGTTAACTTTGACCAGAAATTGGCAAACACTTCACCGTACCAACCTGTCGGAGAAGGCTTTAACTTTGAAGGGCGTGAGGTATACTACACAATGAACATATATCATTAGTACGAGTTTACTTAGGAATATGAAACTGTTAGAGGGTACAACCGATGGCCTGAATTTGATGAAGATCATGATTGAGTCAAATGTGTTTGCCACGATTTTGGCTTATGTGGTTGAAAATAAAATATTAGTAGCCTTAGAGGCCGAATCTCAATAATATTAGTTTTCGAATCAATTAAGTCTGACAAATCTCGGGGAAATTGATCTATCTCTACCGGACAAACAATAAATTCAGAAAATTGGAGGCTAGATTGCATCTATGATGATGATCCTTTGGGGTTCGAGAAAGACCCAGCAATCTTGACCAGGAAAATGGAGGTGCATGATCCTTTGGAAGAGATAGACTTGAGAGATGGGATGACGAAAATGCCGACATACATTAGTGTCAAATTCGCCTCACACTTAAAAGCAGAAGTAACCAAGGTGCTAAAGGTGTTCAGAGATTGCTTCGTCTAGGACGATGTTGAAATGCCTGGACTTAGTCACGATTTATTAGAATTAAAGTTGCCGATCAAATGATAAGAAGCCAGTAAGGCAGACCCTAAGAAGGTTCGCGTTAAAAATCATGTCGAAGATAAAAGCTGAAATCGAGAGATTGCTCTAGAACAGGTTTATCAGACCTGCCATATGAACAATGACAGAGTGGTTAAAAAAAACCACCTTTCAACCTTTAGGTATGGATCGACAGTGACATTTTTTGGAGCATTTCTTACACTTGAATTTTTCATCTAGTAGAAATTCAACAAAGAATGTCATTTTTGTGAGAAAGCATTAATGAAGTGTTCTAAAGAGAATTAATGATGAAGCGTCGACAGACTAATAACGTTCCCCCATTATCTAAGGAAGAGTCGAGTATCCCATATTTCAACACTATTGACCGAAGATATATGAAAAATGCTCTTCTAGTCATTCATCCTAGGCTCAAGAAGTCTTTTATATATACCTCATTCCTAGAATGCAAAAAAATATCTCTAATCTTGAAAAAAAAACTCAAATACAGAGCTTTTCACAATCCTACGTGAGCTAACTCTAAAACATCGTCAAACACCTTAAACATCACTAACAACCTTACACAAGAAAGGTTGTCCATCATTCAAGTACAAATATTTAATATTTTAAATTTTAAAACAAAAACAAAAAGATAAATTAAAATTATTTTCCATTAGTATATATAAAGAGATTGAACAATATTTAAAGATTTATAATTTAAATAATCTTAAGACTTGTGTGTTACAATTATTTAAAATATTTCAATTTTCTATTATAAAGTTTTAAGAAATATTTGAAGAAAAAAAAACTTCACATGAGAAGTTTGTTAAAAAAAACTTTTCATAAAAAAATTAAATGCTATTTTCTTTTGCGTTTTAGGATGGTAAAATTAAAATAAAAAATAAGATTAGATATCAAAGGTTGTTTCTAACATTAATGATATGATATATCCCTAAATCTTATAGTTACGGCTTGTTTGTTACGGTTATTTAAAATATTTCAATTTTCAACTATAAAGTTTTAACAGATAATTAAAAAAAAAAAAAAAACTTGAAATGAGTAGATAAAACAACTTCTCATAAAAAATTAAATGGCCAGCACTTTCTTTACGGATGACTTATTCTTTAGATGCTAAAGTTTTCAACATTAATGATTATTAATTTTCACCAAACTAGGTTATATATACCGACAAGTGAGGAAGACCTTCTTAACATTTACAAAAAGAAACATCTTACTTAATAATTTTCCTTAACAGTATCGAGGTCACACAACACTATACTTTCTTCGCATTCAACACAAATCGCAACTATGTCGGAGAACACGAAACCCCGTAAAAGACTCATCCTTAAGCTGAGTTATCCTCCAGGTTCAAGAAACAAAGATGAAAACAAGAGGAGGAAGATTGAAGATTGTGTAAAACCAATCGTAACATGTTATTGGGTTGATTCAAATTATCGTACCAAATCATCAGCTTTGTCTCAACCAAAGAATAATGACAATGTTGTTGAAGACAACCAAGTTTCCAAAACAAGAGCTTTGTCTCAACCAGAGGTTGTTGAAGACAAGAAGATGATCAAGAACCAAGTTTTCAAAACATCAGCTTTGTCTCAAACAAAGAATAATGATAATGTTGTTGAAGACAAGAAGGTGATCAAGAATCAAGTTTCCAACAGAGTTATGCCTAATAACATTGATGTTGAAAACAAGAAGATAATCAAGAACCAAGTTTCAAAAACAGAAATAGGTTTTAACGGTGGGGAAGAGTGTGGGTTGAAGAAGAAACCGATGGAGTGTGTTAAGAGGAGGCAATGTTGGTTGATATTGAAGAGAATGATGGTCGATAGAGATGGGTGGGATTTGCTTTTTTCTCTCCCTTAATTCTCTTCGTCTACAAATCCTCTTTTCTTGCTTTTTTCAACTGGCTATTTTCGCCAGATACTGTGACTTAAAAAGGTGTATTTCTAGAGCGATTTATCAATCGTAAGTTTTTTGAACGGACTGTTTTATCCTGGAGACGTCGTCGTAAATCGACTGCTTTGCATATTTTGGCGGTACGGCAAAACGTTTTAAAGAAAGCGACCTAGTACACGACTCGTCCCGATAATTTCCTTGTGCCAAACTCAATTTTTCAAATCTGAAAACAACAATCTCTCCCTCATTGTATAAGCAAGAGTTGAGTAGCCCATATTCCCACACTAGTGACTGAAAAAATAAGGAAAGTGCTCTACTGGTCGTTCACCCTAAACACAAGAAGTCTTATATATATATATATATATATATATATATATATATATATATATATATATATATATATATATATATATATATATATATATATATATATATATATATATATATATATATATATATATATATATATATATATATATATATATATATATCTTATTCATAAAATGCAAAAAATATCTCCAATCCAAAAAAAAAGACAAACTTAAATACTATGTGTTTCTCAATTCTGTGTGAGATAACCCTAAAACATTGTCAAATACCTTAAGCATCACTGGCAATCCTACACAACAAAGGACAAAGGGTTATCCATAATTTTAACAAGTACAAAATTAAATATTTTAAATTTTAAACTAAAAACAAAAAGATAAATTAAAATTATTGTCTATTATTATAAAAATATTGATCAATATTTTTAAAGACTTATTTTCTAAATAGTCTTAAGGCTTGTTTGTAACAATTATTTAAAATATTTTAATTTTCTATTATAAAGTTTTAAGAGATATTAAAAAAAAACTTTAAATGAGAAGTTAGTTAAAACAACTTCTCATGAAAAAATAATTAAATGCTACTACTTTTGGCGATGACTTATTCTTTAGATGGTAAAATTTAAAAACAATAATTAAATAAAAAATAAGAATAGATATTAAAGGTTGTTTTAAACAATCTTATTATTTATCAAAGGTTGTTTTATTCTCATGACTTATTCTTAGATTTATTGTTTAGATAATAAAATAAGAATTGATATTAAAGGTTGTTTTAAACATTAATGATATATCCTCCCTAAATCATAGAACAGTCGAATCAAATCTTACTATTCATCATTACTAATTTTCAGCAAACTCGGTTATATATACCCACAAGTGAGGAAGACCTTAACAGAAACATCATATTTAATAATCTTCCTTAAACCTTGTTCCTCAAAAGCATAACACAAACCTTTTTTTTTTAACCGCAACCATGTCCGAGAATACGAATCCCCGTAAAAGACTCATCATTAAGTTGAGTTATCCTCCTGGATCAAGAACCACGGATGAAAACAAGAGAAGGAAGATGGAAGATTCTGTAAAACCAATGGTAACATGTCATTGGGTTGATTCAAATTATCGTACCAAATCATCAGCTTTGTCTCAACCAAAGAATAATGACAATGTTGTTGAAGACAACCAAGTTTCCAAAACAAGAGCTTTGTCTCAACCAGAGGTTGTTGAAGACAAGAAGATGATCAAGAACCAAGTTTTCAAAACATCAGCTTTGTCTCAAACAAAGAATAATGATAATGTTGTTGAAGACAAGAAGGTGATCAAGAATCAAGTTTCCAACAGAGTTATGCCTAATAACATTGATGTTGAAAACAAGAAGATAATCAAGAACCAAGTTTCAAAAACAGAAATAGGTTTTAACGGTGGGGAAGAGTGTGGGTTGAAGAAGAAACCGATGGAGTGTGTTAAGAGGAGGCAATGTTGGTTGATATTGAAGAGAATGATGGTCGATAGAGATGGGTGGGATTTGAAAGATCCTCCAAAAATAGCAATGATTGATAAGTCTGAGTCAAAGTCAAAAGGAATTGGTTTGAAGGATATTGAGAGAAAATTGAGGCTGTATGCAACACCTGATGAGTTTGCTAGTGACATAAGGCTTGTGTTCTCAAATGCAATGCTCATGTATCCTCCAAGGAATCATATCTACCGAATTGCAAAAAAGTTCAGTGAGAATTTCGAACTTAAATGGAAGTCATTGAAGGATGCGTGGAAACTTGAGGATAGAGGAAGAAGCAAGACTCACAACAGTACAAGATATTTATAGAAACTGTTTGGAAATCTGTCAAGTTATTGAAATGTGTAAATTCTGCATAACCAGTTTGTGATTCTTTTAAAATTTGATTGTTCCGTATCTGTCATGAATCTTAGTTGTTACTATTTTGTTAATTAAATCATAGATTATGACATTGTATCTTTTGCTAAATGTTTCATCTCGATGTCATGCAAATCTAAGCTGCAGCATTCTGTTATTGTTATTGTTGAACCATCAGTACTTACTCAAGTGATAACTGCACGTGAACCTTTTAACTCCAACATTAACTCTGCAAGTATATCACTTTAATTCTTGCGAAAGTTTTTGAAGTACTTTAATTTTTAACTAGGTTTTAAAAATTGTTTGTATTTGTGATATAGAACCCAACATCAATTTTGTTTATCTATTGTTAAATAATTTAATTCTACTTAATTAAATAGTTTAGATAAACTCGCATATACCTAAACTATGTTTAATTCACTCTTCATAAACTCGTTTAGATAAACTTGACTTTATTATTAACCATTAATGAGACATTTATCTAGTTTTCATTTGTGTTGGTCTATAAGTAAACATAGTTTATCACAATCCTTGACAAAATAATAATTAATTATATTTTTGTTTTAATGTTAAAATATTGCAACATTAAAATTTAATTTTTTTTAAAACTTCAAAAAATAATTATTATTGTTGATGATTTTTGTTCTGATGTGAAACAAGAATGAGAGAGGTAGGTCTTGGTGTTGACGATGCTTGTAGCTCCAACACTCAAATGATTTATGAAAAGCTCAAACTGAAATGAAATCTTGAGAAAATGAGTCTCATATCTAGTTTGCTTCAAAAAAAGGATATTTATAATACTATGGCAAAAATTTGGCTTTCTTAATCCTCTTATCGAGCCTTCGTTTGGTCCGATACATTTTCCCTTAGGCTTGTTATGCCAAAAGATATATCAAGTCTTCAAATCTAGTCGAGCGATGTTACGCTTTTGTTTCCGTGTGGGGGCAATGATGAGGTCCAGGGAACACTTTTAAAAAAAAAATCTTGTCTAATCATTGAAACATTTTATTGACTACATTACACTTCGCTCTAGGTTATCAGTCTAGAGAGTGGTGCATATGCCTAAACCATTCAAATGCACTTGAATGTATTTGTTTTCTCGAGCATACATTTTAGGTTTTTGGATCATTAATTTGACATCATCCTATAATTCCATTAAAAACTTTATTTTGGATCTCTTTCAAGACTTTTTGGTTTCCTTTTTTTCTTGCTTCCACCCATATATTTTTCTTTGCATTCTTTTAGTGATTTCTCCTGCTTCCAGTTATTTAAATATATTTATTAAATATTTAAATTTTAAATAAATAACTTTAAGACAAAAATCCAAAGATAAATTAAAATGATTTGTTGTAAAAAGATTTATTAATATTTAAAGACTTATTTTTGAAATGAACTTTGCACTTGTTTGTTACAATTTTTAAAACAGAAAAAAAAAATTAAAATTTCATTTTGTTTTGGTTATAAAATTTTAAGAAATTTAGAAAAAAATCAAATAAAAAAGTTAGTTAAAACAACTTCTCATTAAAAAAAATCAAAAGCTCATTCCTTTTGCAATGACTCATTCATGATAATCGTTCATACTTTACTAACACCTACGCAAAGTTTATCACAATCCTTGACAAAATAATAATTAATTATATTTTTGTTTTAATGTTAAAATATTGCAACATTAAAATTTATTTTTTTTTAAAACTTCAAAAAATTAATTATATTCATGTCTAAAGCAATCCAAACCATAAATGTATAAATAGTAGCAAATAACTTCATCTACATTGATTATAACATTGTTCACATACAAGAGATTAAGAAGAATACATAAAATCGAAATCAACTACTCCTAACCTTGACAAGAGAGGGATTTAGCCACTCATTTCCATGATAGCTTGATCAACAAGTTTCGGGAGAAGGTTGATCAACATCCGAGTCGAATAATTGAGATTGGATGGGAATCCACCTTCTTTTTGGTAAATATTGCTAAGAGATGATGAGAAATGAAGGAATGAGTTTCTAGGTCAGAAAACTCCTCTCAAATTCAAATACAAAATAATAGATATTTTTTTAAAAAAGTAGCCCATACTACTTATAGAAGGGTCTGCTGAGCTGTCATGCTCGCTAGGCGAACCCCAAAAATTCCACCTGAAGTTCCTGTGTCCTGGGAACTCTCCCCAGACAAGTTTCCAAATGTTCGCTAGGCGATTAATCTTTCGCCTAGCGAGTTTAAGGCTCTTTCGCCTCTGTCCAAAGTCTGGAAGTGTTCGCTGACTACTCGTTGCTTCTTCACCTAGCGAGTTCTTCAATGCATACCTCGCCTAGCGAGTTTAGGGCCCTTTCCATTCTGTTGTGAACAGTCCCTTGATTCCTGGCCTTTGCTATATAATTCGCCTAGTGAACTTTGTGAAGTTTTAGAGGGAGCTTCGCCGGAAAGTTCGCCTAGAAAACTTGTTGTTGTTGCTTGCTGTCTTGGTTTCTTTGCCATCATTCAAGTGTCTAAATTTCCACTCTTTCATGCCTAATTCCTGCACAATAACACATAAATTAAAGGTACCAAGATACTTTCACACAATGTTGCAAACGAACTAAAGAAAGAGTGATTTTGAACACTTTCTTGACAAAAAGGAGTGAAAGATGCCCACATTTGATAGCTCAAATAAGAAAAATTGGGCCTTTAACAATGAGTTTTATATCTGGGACCTAGTTTACAGCTTTTGCAGCAAGCCGACACGGATCAAAACTAAACAACAATAATTTGAATGAGTACTAAACATAAAATGGCAATA